AATTTACTGTCAATTCAAATGTGTTTTGTAAAATGAGCACTGAGCTTTGGTTCGTGTCACCGGCTGCAGGGTGGAATCTTAAATGTTTCCTTCAGCCCTGTCCTCGGTTACAGACTAATTCACACCTTCTGTACAAGATGTCCTGTTGGTTTTTGCGGTTAAGTGCTAAAGTGCGCAACTCTGTGGCGCACAAAAAAAACCTGCAAAAAACGCCGATTAACATCTGGTTCAATCTGCAGCTGGTATCCGTCCTGCACAGTGTACCACTAATATAATGTTGTCGCTCATCTCAAAGTCTTGCACCACATATTAGAAATTACAAAATCAAGAGGAAAAACAATAAAGTAGCAATAGTTTCTTAACAAAAAAAACCCAAAACAATTTTTTCATACAAGAAACTGACCTCAGATCCTTTTTTTTTTAGGGTTTTGTACATTAAAAAAGTGTGTTTTAGAAGATAATTCATGCACAAACAGTTGAAATACAGTATGACGCCTGATCAAATCGAAATGCTTACCAGTGTTTCTCATTCCCCTGTTCACATTCACTCACACACCAATGGCAGCGGAGCCACCATGCAAGGTTCTAATATCCTCAAAAACGTCCCCAAAACACACTCCAGGATTTAGCGCCTGTGTTGGTAACCAGATTATAGTCGTATTTTTAGTTTTATAAGCTCTGCGGGAAGATTTGCGGCAAGAAAGCTGAGTCATATCACCCAGAGAAAGGAGGAGGCAGGTGTCAGAAAGGAAAGAGACCCGGAGGGATCAGAGTGAGGCCGAATGGCAAAACACACACAAAGCTCTGGAGGATCATCTCAGATATAGAAAACAGGGAAAAACAACAACAACAAAATATAGAATGGAGGAGCGAGTGAAGAAATAAATATGGAAAGCTAAAAGCAAGACAAAAGATCCTGTCAAATTCTCAATTCTACCTCCCCCCTCCACTTTACCACCTACCGGCATCCACTCTCTTTACCCCAAACGTCCTGTGTTTCATCCTTCCTCAGTCTTCCCATCATCCGAACTGCATCCATCCATCCATCATCCATCATCCATCCATCCATCCATCCATCCATCCATCCATCCATCCATCCATCCATCCATCATGCATCCATCATCCATCATGCATCCATCATCCATCCATCCATCCATTCATCCATCCATCCATCCATCATCATCATCATGCATCCTTCCATCCATCATCCATCCATCATCCATCCATCCATCCATCTACCTTTTGTACTTCATTTCTCACTGGGTTTCCTTGTAGCTGATGCTGCAGTGATATCTGAATTATCTGATTTTTCCACTCACTTGAATTTTGTTTTTCCGTTTGCTCATACATGTTTTTTTTTTTGGCTGCCTCAGCTAAATACCACAGACTCCCCAATTTTATTTTATTTTATTTTATTTAAGGCTTTATAGATAAGAGGAAAAAAAGGGGAAAAAAAGTCTCATTATAATCAGGCCAGATAGATATTTTAAAAAGTCCAGAAACTTATTTTGTTTATTTATTTTTCAACTGAATCTGTTGTAAAAGTTCTCCACTGCAAGGAAAATTTAGCATGATAAAGCTGCACTCATTCAAGCTTTTTCCATTCCAACTTAACTTATTTATCAAAGTGTCCGGAAGGTACAAAAGTGTGCATGTGAGGGCCGCCGAGGTTTTCAGCTTCAGAGCTTCCTTCCTGTTTCGCTGCTCAAAGATCAGATCATGATTCCCTGGTAAAGGTTAAGGTACAGAACATTCTCCAACTGGTCTCACTTGTCCACAGTGTGATCCACGATGGCCTTTTTCATCGTCAGTCGACTGCTTTTGTTGACTCTTCTGCTCAAAGGGACTGAAGGAAGTGAGTTGAAAAGCTGATTTCTTTATTTTTTTAATGCTGTTTTTTATATCACTGTAACCGTAAATATATAACATGTACACTGTAACACATTTTCCTGTAAAATTACGGTAAAATATTCCTGCATTTTCATTGTTGCAGTGTAATTTAAGTAAAGATGTATGTACTGTAGAATATAAGGTTTAATTCCTCTAGCTAGACTTTGTATTTATATCGCGGTCGCACTGTAATCAGCATTAAACCTACATGACAATGACAATATTTCATTCTTTATAATGTATAAACATAAATTCCTGATATATAACAGAAATAACAATGTGTCAGATCAACTAACTCTAAACATTTTTAAATGCATCTAACAATAAAACACTAAAAACAATAAAGGAATATGCAAGTTTTATTTGTTCAAAGGCAGCAATGTCTGACAAATTGTAGTTAAATCCATTAGTCTTTCAGAAACCAATGAAAAAATCCATCCATCCATTATCTATACACCGCTAAATCCTCTCTAGGGTCACGGGGGGCTGGAGTCTATCCCAGCTGACTCAGGGTGAAGGCAGGNGCTCAGATAAAAACAGGCCAACAATGTCAAAGGTGCAAGACAGAATGTGTGCTAACAGATTAATCAGTCCTATCCTTGAAATCACAACAGGTGAAATCAAATTATTCCCTTTTGCTCGGCTTTTCTCTTTGTCTTTACTCCGTTTCATTGAGAAACTCTCTAACTGAATAAACTGCAGCGTTTCTGAAGCATAAACAAGAATAGAAATATGCATGTAAGTAGCATTAAAGCTCTTCATGAGGGTATGACACTGGTCTGGTGCTTACCGAGGAGTGTATTTTAAACATGACTCACACTCGAGGTTGACCCTGATGTGTCGGCGACAAACTCTCGCGAACATGAGCGAATAAAGTTTAGAGTGCGGTATCTTCAGCGGGGGACTGATGGGCCGCACTTGTGCCGCCACTTGACCACCGCGTCGCTCACATGTTTATGTAAGTCAATGAGATCCACTCCTGTTAATGCGGTTGCTTATATATTAGTCAGCAGCAGCGGCGGCGGCGGCGTGGCCACCGTAAGCATCCACGTCTGCAGATTGAATTGGGCCAAGACGGGATTGGAGAGCTATCAGTCGGGACAGTTTGTCTCAGGAAAAAAAAATGCATAAACATGAATTCTACTTCCCTTCTAGGAGCAGGTTGGCTTTTAGGGCTTGGAAAGGCTGAGAGTGTTTCAGTGAAACCTGTAAGAAAGACTCCCCACGTATTAACATGTACACAGAGTTTTCTGATATTGCATGGTGCTCTTCTACATGTAGAATTAATACTTGTGCGCAGTCCTCTTATTATCTTAAATGTGGAGATCTTCTACCAGTCTTATAAAATTGTAGAACACATGGATTTAGCACATTAACACCTTCAAACCTCGTCCTGAGTTTTCAGTCAGACTCAGGACTTCTGCTGTGTCCAGTGTGTTAGATGCAGGATCTGCGGCGTTTGTGTTGCGCCTCCTCTGTTGAACTATTTAAAGCTTGTTTTTCCAGTCTAATTACATTTACAGTTGTTCAAAAGCAACAGAAATTTGAAAAAGTCACGTGTTCTCGGTTAAATCGACACTCAGAGAAGACGCAGAATACAAAACAGTACCTGCAGGTGTACACATGTGGGATTTACATGAAGTAATACTCAGTTATGTTAAAATAAATCAGTCGTGTATGAAGCGATTAGCTGAACCGGA